CGTTCTTGGCTTCCGTTCTTGGCTTCCGTCCTTGACTTCCGTCCTTGACTTCCGTCCTTGACCTCATCATGCTCCAGGGGATTTGGATCTGTGGAATCTGGGGTGAATGATTCTTTAGACCGGGAATCTGTTGGTGGGCTAAAAATTTGTGGTAAAAAGATGGAAGCATGGTATGTGAGGGAAGGAGCCCCGATTCCCAAGTACGAGAAGCCGGGTGACCCTGCCAAGGGTGGTTTTAGCGTCCCCGAATACAAGTCGACATACACCATCGACTACACGATTCCCGTCGTCCATGGCGGGACGACCACCACGACGCAACTTCCCACCGGAACGTCTGTCGTGGCTGGCCCCATGAAGGCCTACGTTCCCAATGGCCAAGTGCTCCAAGTGGGCAAGGCCGGAGACCGCAACAAGGTCACCGTCACCATCACTAACCCTGACGGGACACAAACCGTCCAGGAACAAATCATTGAGGTAAGAGAGCACGTGAGAGCGCAAGGGAACACAGATCGGGGCCGTGTCGGTCTGGTGCTTGGCTCATCATTGTGGTGGTGGATTGGGTCGACCGATTGTTCTCCCCCAGGGCGCTGTGAATATAGCAGTTAAGTGGTGATTAGCATCATTTTTGTGTCTGTAAGCTGAGTGAGCATTAGAGGGTCCTCTTCCTTTGAGTGTTTGAAGCGCCCGAAAAAAGCCGCGAGTAGAGAAGGAAGCGCCCATCACGCTGATCCCCATCACGCTGATCCCCATCACGCTGATCCCCATGTCTACCTTTGTGCTTAGCCTCTGTACTTAGCCTATGATAGGTCCCAAGGTAGGTTCCCGAAACTTCGAGCATCGTGTTAGCTCGTCGAAGAATATATTGTCAATGAGCACTGTTGACAAGAGTGTCGTATAGTGACTAGTGGCGTCATTGTAGAAAGTGCGATTCCCGCACGAGTAGCTGCCTCAGCGGTAGTTGCCGGTTCCCCGATAGTTTGTCTGGGTGATAAAGTGGATCCGCCTCGATGGTCCTTCGTCTCGACAGTTGCCAGAACTGGTAGGGTCCGCCTCACCCGCCCTTAGACCCGACCCGTAGACTTCCGACCCGTAGACTCCCGACCTGTAGACTCCCGACCTGTAGACTCCCGACCTGTAGACTCCCGACCTGTAGACTCCCGGCCTGCTGTCACTGATAGTTGCTGCCTTCGCTGAGGTCTTCGTTGGCGTCCACGGGATCGAGTCGGACTTGTTGCGAGGGTAGAGCAGTGCTGGTGCTAGGAGGTTGGATGGCTCTGCTGCCTCGCATGACGCTGGCTTGTACGATAGGTTCCAGTTGTTCTTGGAAGGTGAATGGTGCTTCGGTTAGGACGTTGGTGGTGTCTGCGAAGCGTTCGACGGCTTCGTTGACTTGGAAGAAGTTCTCGTCGGTGTTGTACGGAATCAGCCAGTCGAGGAACTTTGGGTAGACATAGAATAAGGGTGGTATAATGACGAACATGAGTGCATACCAAGCGGCAATGCCGATGACGTAGCCGGGGGCGCGGATGAGGTCGAACTTCTCCATGAGTGTTTGTACTACCATGAACTGATCGACGTAATTGAAGTTGAAAGGTGTGTAGGGGCTGAAATGCCAAACATTGTCCAGGTAGCTACTCATGTTAGCGAAAGCGAGAAGACTGGCAGAAGTGATGCCATAGCGTACGGCGAGTGTGCTTAGTGCTGTCATGCGCCAGATTTTGTGGGAGTGATTACAGCGGAAGTTAAGTTCCTTGCGCACATGGTCTGCGGAACCGAAGACGACCATGCGGACAGATTCACTGCGTTCATGTCTTCGACCGTATGCGTCGTGTGTTTGTAGAAACGGGAAGGGCAAGATAAAAGAGAGGATCATACAAAGAAGACCGATGCCAAGACCGAGTAGAGGGGCCCAAAGAGGTGCATATTTCCAGGTCGCGGCGACGCAAAAGGCTGCAATTAGAGCACCTCCAATAAAGCAGGAGACCTGGAGGTAGGTGAAGGCCTTGCCAAAGTGCTTAGTTCTCAGATCATGCCCAACCATCCAGCCTACACTAACGCCTTCGTACACCATCATAGCAGAGTATGCCCAATTGGTCAGGAAGTGGTGATGCGAAATTGTCCAGCCCCAAGATCCTCCAAACCACTGCGGAATGGTGAACAGGAAGAGTAATACAGATGTGACAATCGCCCAGACCCACCGCGGCACACCCACCTTCCAATTCATACTTGACAACGCTCCTGCACCTGTGACAGTGTCCACCGCATGTGTGACTCCATTAACACCTAGCAGTGCCATACATATCCAAAAGAAACGACTCCATGCAACTGACCGGGGAGTGGCGCCGTCCAGTGCCGGTCCGTTATCAAACATCGTCTGGACGGAGGTAAACAGTGTGCCGTATGGCATATTACGTATATCGAAGCGTAACGTCGCATACATTTGTTCTGGCTCGCCCGTATAACCGATCCGTGCTGCAGCGGTTCCGTATGCGAACCAGCAGAGCAAGAAAGCGAGGAAGCACATCAGGGTTTGCAGAAAAGCGCCGATTCCGCACTGCACGATGAGGTTCTTGGCTTTGTTTGGAGCACGACTAGCCACCAATTCGTTTTGACCTGTGCCAAGACGCAGTGTTAGGAACGCCTGTATGATTGCAAAGGCCCAAACGTCGGGATAGAAGAAACGTTCCCAGCTAAAGTCCACAAGTCCCTGGTTCCAGTTGTACAGATATGCAGGACTATCCTTCCACCAGAGCATTGCTTTAATTGTCAGCATTAAAAGACCGAGTAAGCCCATGAATCCGAACAATGAACGTACGATTGAGGAAGTAGCCTTGCATATAACTCCGAATTGTGACCCTAGCGAGCCGAGTGAGTTGAGGACACTCATACAACAAGCGAAGATGAATGTGGACAAGAGTGAGACTGGTAATCGCGCTCGAAATTTGCCACGCCAGTCTCGATAGTATCCTGATGCGTTCATGACAGCCTTGGCATTATTTGTACTCACATCATGGAGAAATCGTGCTGCACAATATTGGGGGTAGTCCTGGTCCAAAAGCGGGTCGTATTCCTCTACAGAAGTAAACAAAAATTCACTCGCAGGCGCCCAAGGTACTGCCAGGCATCGACCATTTCCGGCCCACAAATGGCACTGACTCTCATCATAGCAAGAAACGTCCAATCGCCGACCTTCCGGCCCACAAAGGAAAGGGGAAAGATGAGGGACATAGTCCGAATAACGCGTGCATGTACGACCCACATATAGATCCACTGCATCCATAGCCGTCAATCCCGGACTCTCATAATTAGCCCAACGACTAGATGCTTCCCATACATACACGAAAGTATACGCCGTTAATGGAGCAGTAAACAATAGAAAGCAGGCTGATAACAACCAATTTAATGAAGACACTCTCGACTTCAAACTTAGGGAACCCATCGCTCGTGTGTTCTCGCCACCCGTCGCTTGTCCTATGCCCGTTTCAAATAAATACAACGGCCAAGACAACTACCAGAACGACCCGTAGGCACAGTATGTGATCCTTACACATACACACACGTGTGTGTGTGATCCTCTGTGTCATACACACGCACGTGTGTGACTTACAAAGACGATACTAATTAAGTACGGTACGATGAAATTAATTGCGCTAAAGGTGCCTGTGGTCCACCGGAAGGACATAGGAATCGCCACGGCCGCGAACCGCCAGACGTTGAGCAGGTTGAGCTGGCCCAGCGTCACGTCGAGAGTGTGAATAACAACTTGCGCACGTGTGGCCACGACCGGGCGCCGTGGCGACTGAAGGTGGATCATATTCACGTCAGTCTCCTCGATCTCATCGAATTGGTGGAAACCATCGGCCACCCCGCTGCGGTTCCGATCCATAGTTGGAAAAAATAAAGCAAGCCGAAGATGGATCGGTGATGCACCTGTGCCGCACCGCTCGGTATCACCCCCAGATAGGCCTGTTCTTACCACATTGTGTCGACCACATTGTGTCGACCACACTGTGTCGACCACATTGTGTCGACCACACTGTGTCGACCACATTGTGTCGACCACACTG